TGTGGCAAGTACTATATAAACAGAAATAAATGTGATTTAACTACTAAGTGAAGTAGAGCATTGTAGAGAATTGGGCAAGGGCATGCAGGCACCTGATCTATACACCAAAACTGCATCAGTGTGTCCCTTTAAAATAAGCACTAAGACAATGAAATATATGGTTTTCTTGTTAGGCCAAATTCTCTTTGATTCTACCAGTGCTCAGGCTGTACGAATACAAGTAGCAGTTCTTGAAAACATTCCAAAGAATGTACGACATTGCACTCTAGCGCACTTGATTGTATGCATCTTATACATGTAGGAGGTGCACCTACATTTCATGTTAAGCTATGTTGTTATGATCAATTTATCTTCTCAGTTACTTTAAATATGATGTTCTGATGTTTTGTTTTTCGTTTCTGCAAATATATTTGCTGAACCATATTCATTACAGCATATTAGTGTCATACATTTTTAAACTATGGTCTTAAACAGAATTATACGTGGAAACATAATGGTGAAGTGTGTATTATAGGCAGGTAATGTAATTGAGAAGTTCTGGAAACATCACAGCCCATGGTTTATAGAAGTTGTCTGAATATAGAGATTATTTTCCACAAACCTTTTTCACTGTTAAATATATGATATAATATATATATATATATATATATATATATATATATATATATATTTTACATATTATAGCAACTAAAGTATCGGAGATTGCTTGTGATCTGCAGAGAGAAACATGCTTACACAAGCATATCCACTTCAATGTACAGTGTATACAATTTTTTTAGATGATATAGGTGTTATCTTTGCTTTATTAAAGTACATTTCTAACTTTTCATACATATTTTAGTATCATTTAAACACAACGTTATTGAATAGAAAGTTAATATATTGCTTCTTTAACCCCTTAAGGACACATGACATATGTGACATGTCATGATTCCCTTTTATTCCAGAAGTTTGGTCCTTAAGGGGTTAATTTTCCTTTCTCTTATCTTTCATATTTTTCAAATGTTATAACACACACACACACACACACACACATATACATATACTTTTTACCAAAATGCATCAAACTTGAAAGAGTACATTCACACATTCACTTAATATTCTGTTAAATACCTGCTTTTTTTGTTAAGCAATATGACTATATTACTTTGGATTTTCTTGCTTCAACAAAAGCAGCTATTTAGCACCATGTTAATCTCTATTAGTGTACGTACATGTGCACATTTGTTATACACGTAAACGCATGTGTCTGATACAGAAATTGGTCTCAGCATATCATTTGCTGTAATAAATGATATAGCTATGTTTTTCTGACGTGTAATAAAACCATGTTTTGTTACTAATATTATGTACTAGAAAAGTACTGTAAGTTTTGAAGTTGTTTATTACAACTTGTTCACAACACTTGCAATTTGTTATCAGCCTACTTCCTGCTGTTTTTATATAAAGCCTTTCAGCAGTAAAGAGTAGCTTACATTTTATATTAGTTTGTGCTCAAGGAAGTAATTTGCATCCTATCAGTATAAAAAGGAGTTACAAGAAAAATAATTATACAATACATGGAAATCACTATATTTCACCTTGTTTCCATTTGGATATTTTTTTTGTAGAAATAAATCTATATCACCTTCAATACTAGTGTAGCCCCTACACTAAGGTGGCAAAATTACAATATTCAAAATCACAATATCTGAGAGATTCAGAGAAAAGAAGCCATGACTTAGACCAGAAAATGCATCTGTTGACCAACTGTCGACTCTAGACTGGTTTAGAACCAGAAACATGACTATAACACTCTTTTCCTGCTCTCCTACACTCAAAAGCCTGTATATATGTTGTACAATACTTATTGCCACATTTATGTTTTGTTATTTATTCCACCTGTCTCTATGACAATAAAGTTCAAAAAAGAGAAAAACAAAACAAGCAAGTTTAATAAATAATTATGAATATAGCAACCAACATTATACACTGAACAAAATTATAAACGCAACACTTTTGTTTTTGTCCCCATTTTTCATGAGCTGAACTCAAAGATCTAAGACTTTTTCTATGTACACAAAAGGCCTATTTCTCTCAAATATAGTTCACAAATCTGTCTAAATCTGTGTTAGTGACCACTTCTCCTTTGCCAAGATAATCCATCCACCTCACAGATGTGACATATCAAGATGCTGCTTAAACAGCATGATTATTGCAAAGGTGTGCCTTAGGCCGGCCACAATAAAAGGCCAATCTAAAATGGGCAGTTATATCACACAGCACAATGCCACAGATGTCACAAGTTTTGAGGGAGCGTGCAGTTGGCATGCTGACTGCAGGAATGTCCACCAGAGCTGTTGCCCGTGAATTGAATGTTCATTTCTCTACCATAAGCCATCTCCGAAGGCGTTTCAGGGAATTTGGCTGTACAACCAACTGGCCTCACAACCGCAGACCACATGTAAGCACATCAGCCCAGGATCTCCACATCCAGCATCTTCACCTCCAAGATAGTCTGAGGCCAGCCACCCACACAGCTACTGCAACAATCGGTTTGCATAACCAAATAATTTCTGCATAAATTGTCAGAAACCATCTCAGGGAAGCTCATCTGCATGTTCGTCGTCCTCATCCTCAACCTGACTGTAGTTTGTCATCGTAACTGACTTGAGTGGGCAAATGCTCACATTCGATGGCATCTGGCACTTTAGAGAGGTGTTCTCTTCACGGATAATTCCAGGTTTTACCTATACAGGGCAGATGGCAGACAGCATGTATGGCGTTGTGTGGGTGAGCAGTTTGCTGATGTCAACGTTGTGGATCGAGTGGCCCATGGTGACGGTGGGGTTATGTTATGGGCAGGCATATGTTATGGACAACGAACACAGGTGCATTTTATTGATGTCATTTGTAATGCACAGACATTCCGTGATGAGATCCTGAGGTTCATTGTTATGCCATTCATCCGCGACCATCACCTCATGTTGCAGCATGATAATGCACAACCCCAATGTTGCAAGGATCTGTACACAATTCCTGGAAACTAAAAACATCCCAGTTCTTGCATGGTCAGCACACTCACCGGACATTCCACCCATTGAGCATGTTTGGGATGCTCTGGATCTGCGTATACGACAGCGTGTTCCAGGTCCTGCCAATATCCAGCAACTTTACACAGCCATTGAAGAGGAGTGAACCAACATTCCACAGGCCACAATCAACAACCTGATGAACTCTATGCGAAGGAGATGTGTTGCACTGTGTGAGGCAAATGGTGGACACACCAGATACTGACTGATTTTTAGACCCCTGGGACCTCCCCAATACAGTAAAACTGCAAATTTTAGAATGTCCTTTTACTGTAAGCAGCCTAAGGCACACATGTGCAATAATCATGCTGTCTAATCAGCATCTTGATATGCCACACCTGTGAGGTGGATGGATTATCTCGGAAAAGGAGAAGTGCTCACTAACACAGGTTTAGACTGATTTGTGAACAATATTTGAGAGAAATAGGCCTTTTGTGTACATAGAAAAAGTCTTAAATCTTTGAGTTCAGCTCATGAAAATTAGTGGCAAAAACAAAAGTGTTGCGTTTATCATTTTGTTCAGTGTAATTGGACATTAAGAAATAAAAATATGCATTGCGAAACAGATTGAAATTAAAAAGAAAAATATATAATTATTACTTGCTGTATCAATATAAGATGTTTCTATACTAAGTAAATTGGTGTGGAAAAATGTACACCATACAAATCAGATTTCAATTATAATCATCTTGCCAAGTCAGTTTAAAGGGTTACTTCAAGATTTGCGATCACTTCTGTTTTTTGAAGTGGACAAGGTGCTTCAAGTCTTATGTGGAGAATATCAGAATGGAACTCTAAACATACATAGATATTGGGCTACCTGCCGGAAGTGTAACTCCACCTCAAGCAGAATTGTTTGTGTGCCTGGCTTGGTAAAGTCAATTCTGTGCAATTTTCTGGGCACAGAGGGGCATCCACTGGCTGAGAGTGCTTCTAGGCATTGAATGAGCAGTAATATCAGTTTATAGCTTCTGCATAGCTTGATGCTTGTCAGACCCCAATACTGAATTTGATGATTTTACTGGTTTGCTGACGAGTGAGACATGGCAAGAGGGCAGTAGTATTAAAACAGTTTCCCCATTACTGGGGAATGGCATAAGGGTACTCTGAACATCATAACGACCACAGCTTGAAATAACTCTTTAATGACAGAATAATATTTACAATATACACTGTATAATATATAAATTTGTAGCGGATGGCACCGGGCTGTCCTGCAAATATATTGTACATAACTGCATTCGTGTGATCTGCTGTGTTATATGTGTTTTAAAAGAATTGTATTCCTCTGATTGTTCGGTAGTTTCATTCCCTTAGTTTATTCGAATGAAAATACCGAACAACCAGACCTCCCCTGTGTGAAGTGTGTCCTCAATTACCCGTTGCAACATTGTTGCGAACGGGTAATTGACTAGTAAGTAGCCGTCCTTTGTTCTCGGGGGTGGCCGCCATTCGACAAACGAACACGTGGCGGCGGCCATTTTAAAACTCCCGAACAGCGGTGTTTTGTCGTCGAGTGTCTGGAACTAAAATCGGACACTCGAGTAGGCGAACACCGCTGAGACCTCCACAAGCCCGGTCCGTTCGAAACTACCGAACGGCCCCTCGTTCGGTAGATAGAAAGAACCGAATGAGGGGATTCAGGTGAACCCTCCCTAGCCTCTATAGCTAGAGGCTTTCGTGTATTTTGTTCCCTTATGCCAGGACCGACTGCAGGGCCCATTCGCATGGAACCTCATTCGGCTGTCTCAGTTAGTGCGGTCGGTCATTTTATTCCCTCCATACATTTCCCGAACCCCTGGTCTTATCTGGGTGATTTTTGGATATGTTGTTCACCCAGATCAGGGCTATCCAGGGATGTAGGATTTAAAGAGGTACCCCTACGTTTAGGGGTACATCCAGAAACGGGGGGAATTACTGTACTGGATAAGGGGATTATGATGCTGGCTGAGGGGAGGAGATGTGTGGGAGGTTACCAGGACAGGATTGGCTACTGTATTAATGATTGTAAATCCCTCCCTTGCATGGGAGCATGCTTTATAAGGAGACTGTGGATTAAAAGCTTTCAGTTATGCTCCTGAAACTGTGTGTCGTCCAGTTATTGGGATTGCTGTTGGGATATTGCTGTATTTTACCTGCTGGAAACCTTGCCTGTGGATTTACTATTTACTTGTTCCTGAGCCTCACTTGGATTATAAGCGGAGATAACCTGGGGAACATTGCATCTCCGCTACAACATTATATAATGTAATATACACAATATAGATCATTTCAGCTCAATTTTCCAATTTTGCTGTCAGAGATGTGCAGAGGAGGTAAACTCTCCAAAATTATGATGGCAGTACTCATACTCATACAGGTCTAAAATTCTGAGAACATTACCCATTTATCATACTGGTGCATATAGGGAGACCTACACAGTTTTCCTACACATCTCCTGTAAAGATAGATCTAATGTTTAAACCTCTTTTATTGCATAGTCTGTTTAATTTAGAATTTCTTATCTCCTGCTCTGTTGATCACATTCTAGAACTTGCAGGATCCTCCTGTGTGTGATTAAAGTGCAATTAACAGATCAGGAGACAAGACTTCTAAAGTAAACATATGAGACAGCAGGGGCATGATCTATACACCAAAACAGCTTCATTAAGCCAACATGGTTTTGGTGCCTATACACTTAACTATTGAGTGTTTAATATGAAGATAATCCATTTTAACAGATCTGATATTGGTTATTGAATTTTTGTTGAAAAATAGCATAAAAATAAGATTGTGATTGCTTTGACATTGTTAATGGCTCATTAGCAGCTGTTAATTTCACAATAAATATCTAACAATACATTGTGATAGAGGTCACATAGCTAACTTGAAGAATTTATTTCAGTTCAATATTTAAAAATAAATTCACTTTATAGGTTTGGCACTGGGTACACTAGTTCAGGGATAGGCAACCTTTGGCACCCCAGAAGTTGTAGATTTCATCCCCCATAATGCTCTTACACACATAATGCTGACAAAGCATCATGGGAGGTGTAGTCCAAAACACCTGCAGTGCCAAAGGTTGCCTATGCCTGTACTAGTTCATTAGACTGAGATATTTTTGTTCACTTTCCATCCTGAACTGATAGGTGTTTGTAAATAACTTCAATGCCATTTTCAATTAACACACCTTATGTAATATAACATGGTCTCTATGAAGTGTACTTAAACCTTTTACCAGTATTGTATATTTGTAGCAAAATGTCAGTAATAATATTTAAAACATTCAGCTATTTATTATTCATAAAACTGATAGACTTTATATAATCCCTAATTAATGATCACATTGCCATATTCACTTGTGCATGCCCCAAATCCCTTTCTCCTTTTGCGCAGTTCTCATTATCAAAATTACCCTCTGCATCATGATCAACATCTGATTCTGAAAGCTCTCCAAATATTTTAATCATTTGCTTCAAATCAGTGTATTTCATTGAAGAAATGTTAAGTTACTTATGTTAACGGTTTGAACATTTGTTCTACAAGTCTGCAAACATATGCTTGCACTTATTATCCAAAATATTAATAATCACGAAATTTGTATTTAACACAAAGAAATCAGTTCAATCTTTTTACTCAACATTTTTTTAAAATAAACTTGCCTTAGTGGTTTTTTTTTTTATTATTAGGGAAATGCAAAGACTAATACAAAATAATATGAAAGCTAAAAAAACATAATAATTCAGAGTCTGGTAATAATTAACTTATGTCAAGTATATGCCATACTACTTGTCAGGCATGTTGATAGAGAAGGGCTGACCTAGACTGGAGACTTGTTTTGGATCTTCAAATACTTGAGTCTGTCTTTGGCGCCATTTCATGTTAGCCCAAAGTCAACTGCAAGTCCTTGGAAATTTGAGAGAGAAGTGACACCTCCAATTATACAATTTGTGATAGTGCCACTCAGTGACAAAAACTCAGCTGGGGCCAATGTGAACATGTGAGTTTAATGCCTGTTTAGGGCACCCAATGTGCAGAGCCCTGCAGAAGCACTCTGGCATTGGGAAATTGCTCTGTATTTCTTAAGCAGAGTGCAAATTAATGTAATGATATACTTGTCTAGTATTTGCTGGTATCTTGCTTCTGCCTGCAGACACTAGACGACAATACCAGGGCAGGGCTGGGAGAGGGTGTGTGTGTGTGGAGACTGCCTATTGTATATGTGTGTGGTGGTTGCTTATGGGGTTGGATACCTGAAGGCTGCTTATGGGGTTGTGTGTGTGGGCAGATGGTGCCTCTTATGTTGTGTGTGTGTAGGGAGGCTGCATAAAGTATTGTGTCTATGGGGATGCTGCTTGTGGGGTTGCATGTTTGTAGGGACGCTGCTTGTGGGGTTGAGTATGTGATGGTATAGCTGCTTGTGGGGTTGCATGTCTGTGGATGGGGCTGTTTGCAGAGTAGTGTATGTGTGGAAAGGACTGTATGGGGTGTGGTGAATGTGTATTGGGGGTGTATTGTGTGAGGGGATAAAGACTGTAAAGTGCTTGTGGGGTATTATAGGGGCTGTAGAGAGTGTGTGGGTGAATCACTGGGGCATACATAACTTTGCCTGCATAAATTGGTAGGAGTTATACTCTAGGGATACAGCAGCTAGTAGCTGCTGCAAATTATTAGGGGAAACAGCTCGACAGAGATGAGAAAGCTCTTTGCTACAGGTCTGTTAATGATCAGCTAATGCCAGCATAAAACATTGCCTTTTGCCAGCAGCCTGCTGTGTGGGATATTAGAAAGGTCTCCCAAGAAAATTGAAAATACGCCTGGAGACTTGGAACCCTATGTGGCACAACATTATTGTGAGAACTTTATTTTATTCATATAATTTCTAAGCAATTCAACAGTTAATTATTTCACTTTGTTATGCTTTTTTAACTAGTATCTAATTTTATATATGGTTTTATAGACTTTGGGGTATATCCACTAAGCATTACTTTTTCGTTTTCTGTATATGTTATATGTTGCTATTATCCATAATTCATCTATATAAGAAGTGTTACTACCAAGAACACGAACAGATGTTTGTCCTGGAAGAAAAAAAATAGGCAGATGAGCATAGTTCTAAAACTATGGAAAAGTTAGAATTTTAGGCATTTAGAAAAAGAATTTAAAAAAAAATAATAAATACACATTTTACCTACATTGTTCTAGTGCATTATGTTGTAATCTCACTAGTTGATCTCTCTCTTTTGTATTGCTTACTCTGGCTATTCACTACCCCTATATATTTTGCTCTCAGCATTATCTTCTGATATTCAGAACTTCCCTTATAAGTATATCACTAGTATCTTAAATTATATAATATTTAGAATACTACATATACTGTATATGATCTTTTTTAAGTGAAATGAGAAAGATTTGGCATTTATCATATTACTTCTAAAATATTTTTGTAAAGTGTGTGAGTTGATGAAAAAAAATGCATAACTCCAAATGATCTTTTTTTCTATTTGATGAGATAAACTAGCATTGTATACTCCACTCACCCGAAGCAAACACAGCATTAGTTCTAGTTGAATACCGTACAATATAGCAAGCAGTAATGTAACCAAAAAAATTGATGCCCGAACTGTAAGATAATTCCTTGTGTTTTATTTCCTGTGAAGGATTCTAAAGAGAGATAATTGCTATGGTGTGAAGTTCACCTAGCTTCAAATGAAGCAATTTTTCCAAATCAATGACTTTCACCACAATGTAGCTTATTGCATTAGTAGAGTATGCAGTTGGTCAAGTTGAAAGGACTACAATGAAAATTAAGGGTTTCAGTTTCTTTTTCAACCTATTTGCTCCCTTTATGTTAAAAAGGAGACAAACAATTCAATGGATAAATTCTAGTTTTGTTATGTTAAGTCATTGGAAAATGATTTAGCAAATTCTAGATTTCATAATTGTGCTTAACCCATTTAATCTAAGTATAAATTAAAAAGATTCAATTTAACTACTTTATTTTCTTTGTAAAAAAATATTATATGATAGTTTCTAAGGGCAATGGTGACAACTTATTATATCATTATTGCATAAAAAGCAAGTCAAAATTTACATTTCCAGGGCAGAAGAACAGTCTTACATAAGGTCCATACTAGACTCTAAATTTGAAAAATTATTTCCCCACACATTTCTAACTAATAACAGTTTAACCCCTTAGTGGCCAGACCACTTTTACATTTTCTTATCGTTTGGGACCAGGGCTGTTTTTAAATTTCTGCGGTGTTTGTGTTTAGCTTTAATTTTCCTCTTACTCATTTACGGTATCCACACATATTGTATACCATTTTTCTCGCCATTAAATGGTCTTTCTAAAAATACCATTATTTTTATCATATCATATAATTTACTATAAAACAAATTATAAAATATGATGAACAAATGTAAAAATACACACTTTTTTGTACTTTGCCTCTCAAAATCTGTTACACATATACATCTTCCAATGAATACCCCAATATGTGCTCAGCAACATCTCCTGCGTACAGTGATATCACCCAAGTATAGGTGTGTTAGGTGTCTTTGAAAGTTACAGGGTCAATATAGGGCTTACCCAATTCAGTTTGCTAGATTAGTTTGCTGGATCTGTGTTGCATTTTGAGACCATATGGTAGCCCAGGAATGGGAAATAACCCATCATGGCATACCATTTTCAAATATAGACAACCCATGGTATTCAAAATGGGGTATGTCCAGTTTTTTGTAATAGCCACTTAGTCACAAACGTAAAGTGTGATGGCTTGACAAAGACACTTTTTGTTTAAATGTTGTCACTCCTTGTTTGCGGGCTGAATAAAATCAACGTTATACCACATTGGCCAGTGCTGAGGGCTCTATCTTCTAAATAACTGTTAAATAATGAGACCAATATAACTAGCACAATTTCTTCAATCACAGATATTTAAATGCCAGAATTAAAGGGACATTGTAGGCACTATGACTGTTTAATCTCACTAAAGTGGCTTTAGAGCCTGAAGACCTCTAGTGCCATCCTACAATTTAGTGAATCACAAATTTTTAATGGTCTAATGCCAAATGAAAGTCCTCAACAACTGTCCCTTCTGCTGCTTTCACTAAACAGAAAGCTGCTATGGGCAGCAGTAATTGGCTGGGAGTTTCAGCTGACTGATTTCAGCCTATCACAACCCTCATGGTCATTGGCAAAGGGT